GTTTCACATCAGGTCTTACTAAAAGATCAGTCTCAGCGTATTTTCCTCAGTCCTCTTTTTGCCTCTTTCAGCCAGTTTCCTTTTTAGTCTTATTTCTACTCTCCTCTTCCCAGTGGAAATCAGAAAGTGAGAGAGATAGGATGACATAGGGAAAGAAGGGGATTTAAGCATTACAAACGTTTCTGTTGGGAGTAAGTAATGGGCAAAGGGTCAGATCACTATTCTGGTTTCATCTGATTTGATTTATATATTAAAGTTAACAACAACAGAGACCAACCCCTGTTATGGATGAACAGCTTGGCAGTGAAGGACAGAGTCATCTATTCACTTTACATAACAGAGTTCATGGGGTTTGGACTGTCATATAGGATGTGCTGGGAGGTTTTTTTGTATTTTCCTAACTTCTCCTCCTAAATAAACCCTGAAGGAGGGGGCAGGCTTTGGTTTGTAAAACATTTGATATTCTATTGTGTATTAGGTACTGTATTTCCTTGGCACTTCAAGCATCTTAAAATAGAGAGACTAAATAATAAAAAATGTGGAAAATATGTTAGGATATTAAAGTCAGAAAAAAAGGCAAAACTACCTACCTAAAACCTTACACATGAACACCTTAACCCAGAGGGATTTTATATGGAAAATTACATAGAACTATAAAACAGTTTATAATGGAAATGCTGACAGATCCTCATCAACAGCTACATTAACAGGGTTCACTAGAATGTGAAGGGTTTAGAATTTGAAACTTGGTTTTCACTTAATATTCTGACATTATGGCTTCGCAGAACTTCTTGGTTATTATTTTCCTAGTCTACCCTAAACACAAAGAGAACAAATGCTGTAGGAATTTGTTGATTTGCTGATTAAGATGAGAGGTTTTGGTGCTTATTCCTTATTCAACCATGTGAAGTGCAGTAACATTTGAAGCTGATGTGAGGACCACAGATTCCATTGTGAAAGAGAAGATCACTTCTGCATTTTTTAGAAGATCTAAGTTTGGGTTAAGGGTAACTGCATTTTTTCTTTAATATTAGAATTTTAGTTATGAATGCATGTAAATAACATCTTACACCTAGAACATATCTTGGCAGAGGAAAGGAATATAAATCTTCACACTGTCCTCCAATTCAAGAAGAAATTGTATAGACTAGGCCTGGCAAGTGAATTAGTGGAAAGAAAGTGAAATAAAGAAAGCCTATTCTCTCTTCTCTTGCAAATACCATTATTCAGAATATTAAATGAGAAATCTCAGAGATGGAAATATTTAGATTGGAGCCAAGGGAGAAGATGCTTCATTATCAAAATGCATCTGCTTTTTAAAGTGCGCAATGCCTCTATTAAAAGATTGAGAGGTGGAGTTATTCTAATGGAAAATACATTTTCCATTATGTTTTACATTTATATAGGACAGTAGAAGTCAAAATTTAGAACCACAAAGTGGTTCATATGCATCATTTTATCATGGGGTTTTAAAGTATCCAGATTGGAAGAAAAACAAGACACTTCTTTGAACTGAACTTATTATCGAGTAAACACTGACTGGGGATATGTAAAAGTTGAAATGTGTACAGATTTGGTCTACTCTGCAAGAGATCTCAGCAGAAAAAGAAAACGAATATGAACAGATTCTTTCCAAATAATAATAATAAAGCAATTTCTCTCAAACTAGAGATTGCTAGATTTCTTGCTCAGAATCATCTCAAAATATAATCTAGTTATTGCTGATTTATTTGTGGGGAAAAACAGAATGATTTTGGAAATTACTAAAATATCAAATATGAATCATAGTCTTATCTATAGTTAAGAATTTACCTTAACAGGAGGCAATATAATAGATTAACTGACATAATTACTATTTTCAGCCATTTGATTTTCTTCTAAAGAAGAACCATCTTTAAAGATCATCTGAACCGCTTCACTATTAATGTTCAAGACTGAGGAGAACATCATTGTATTATTTCTTTTCAATAAAAAAGGAACAAAAAAGTATGGAACATTTCAACATGGTGAACATCTAGGAACATGAGCCCTCTGACTGACTTGGTTTTTTTTTGTTCTTTGCACTATACAAAATCCCCCATCACATACTGAGTAGTTTCAGCTGAAAACATTACAAACAAAAAATCGAATAGATTATGTTTTTGAAGGTCCTGTCCTCACTCACATGTTGCATTGGAAAATATCAGTTATGTTGAATATTACATCTTCCAGCATAGATCTGGTACTTGCCATTCCAGGGCTGTCACAGGCCTCCCTAACAGAATTCATCTGCAATGAGGCCAATATCTAAGAGCTTTATTAATAAAAGATTATGCTGCCATCATATTCTCTTTGTGTTCATATAAATAATTTAGCCATAAAGGAATTCCCTGATCCTTTCTACAGTCTTGGAAAAAATACAGTGCAATGTCAAAGAGGATCGTGGCAAATCAATCCCTTCTAGTATTCTTTTATTAAAGATACATATGATTAGTTAGAGAAGTAGAATGAAAAAACTGTCGGAACATCAAATCTATAGTACAAAGTAAGAAAAAATACAGAAGAAGACAGACACTCTCTATATAGCTATATCATCCAGCTATATCTATACATCATCCAGCAAGCAAACAAGAAGTGGTTTTATTGCTGCTAAGGCTGGTCAAAAGGTAACTATGTTTTCTGAAGCATTTGAAATTTTCTATCTCTTTTTATGTTTCACGGAAAGCATATCCAAAACCACAAAAGGGCTGAACGCAGGAGCTTAGTTGACAAAGGCACTCCATGCGATGCTCAGAAGTTCCCCCACCCCAGTAACTTAGGGGGACATAGGCGTATGTGTTTCAAGGCCTATTTTTCAAACATAATCTCTCCCATCTGCATAAAAGAGCACCACTGGTGTTAATACTCTCAGCTCCAAGTTACTGCAATTTTATGACATATTTACCTTGGCATGTCACATCTGATAAGGTTACAAGTTGAATTCACCATAAATGATATGCCTGACAAATTTAAATAAACAGGAGTTTGTAAAGACAGTCAGGAGAAGTTGCTAATCACCTACAACTGGAATAAATCTGGAGAAAGATTGAAGCATCAAAATCAGTATAGTAAGTCAAAGCAATATTCCATGTAAGAAATAGATTTATTTTCCATATACAATTTTTGCATCTGTGAAAGATCCATTGAAAAAGTAGCATTGTCTTTAATAATTGAAGATCCAAAGGAGTAAAATTTATTCCTTTCTAATGATGAGGAAATTTATATTAGAAGTCTGATAGAAATGAGAATGAACCTTCAGATCTCTCAAAACAAGTGCTTAAGGTTTTATATAGGGTCAAGAAATTAGTTGTTTTAATTTATTCTGTAGAAGAGAGAATTACTGTTACAGAGGAATGACAATAAAGAAACCACATTAACACCATCTTTTAAACTTAGTTGGTTCTTTTATACTTTTGCATGAACCCTAGCCTTATTAACAAAATTTCAAGAAATGCTGTTTGTTTGGTTTATAATGTTACAAAACACAAGTTCAATCCTCTGCTGCTACCATAAGCATTTTGGAGATTTACTGCCTTTATAATCCCTTTGGTTTGGAAAAAAATAGATTATTCCCATATTAGGAAAAAAACTTCACTCAATTAACCATTAATCCCATAGTTTTATTGCCGAGCCATCTTCTCTTTAAAAGAATTTATAAACTATTTTCATTGTGTGTTTCACATCATATTTTGCATACTTTATCATGTGGGTTAACATTATACTTGCATTAGTTTTAAATTATAATATCACCAAAGCATAGAATTACCAGGATAATGGAAATATCTTAAGAACAGCAAGCAGATTTCAATAATTTCTGATAAGGATAAGCCATGTCAAAATACTCCTATTCTGTAATTACAAATATTAAAAATTAGTACAAGAATACTAAGTCAATTGCTCTTAAAAAACAGTGACAGTTCTCCTATAGTAGAACCTTTTAAATATGTGAGTTGTCCCAACATACACAATATGAATACCCCTACACCTGTTACAATATAAATATATATAGAGAGAGCTTAAGTTGTGCTCTTCAAAAGTGTAATTGCTTTCTGTTCATATATTTCAATAGTCACAAATACCATTGCTGTCATTTTTAATATGGACACAAAGGATCAATGTACTGGACACTGACAAAACAGCCTAAAAAAAGAGTTTGGTTCACCAGCCATTAGAAGGTAAATCTGTTAAGGTCTGTCTGCCAAATAACACCGTAAGTAATGGATAGTTGGGGCAAGTGGCAAGCAACAAATTTCCAATATTATTGCTATTCTATAAGGTTAAAAATGTTCTAAAATTCATTTTAAAAAATTTAAATTAATAGTTAACTGTAAATATAAATGTAAAATAGGAAATTCGACATAGCAAAAGCCCTATCTCTGCTCCTTCATATCCAGGGCAACACTTTTGCTGTGTTTCAGTCTTACCTGCAGATTTTTTGCTGTCTCTCATTCCTGTCTACTTCTGGTTTCACCTCCCCATTAGGAAATTATAATTTAATAGGAGTATACATGAATTTCCTCCTGGCAAAGGGGAATTATCCTTTATAAAGCCTCAGGCACCACAGAAAAGTTGGAACAGAAGGCTAGAAAATGCCTCAGGCTTATGGCAAAGGGCAGTATATTTCATAGTCAGAGGGCATATGAAAATGCAGATACGTGTTCCTGAAATCCAAAAGCAGAGGTATTTTTAGGACTCAGAGGAATGTGGTTAAGACAAAAGCATCTCCATGTTGAAGGAAGTCTTGCAGGTTTCTTAACAGCCTGGGTGATCACTGTCAATGAGAGACAAGTTTTTGAATAGAAACACTAGATTTGATGGTTCTGACAGGCTGAATGCACAGTGCAACTAAAAATTGCACAAGATCTCACAGCTACAGAGCACACTTTCTATTTTGCATGAAAAAATGATGAAATAAAATCTTTGGATTTTGTGTTTACCCATCTTATATTCCTCAGAGTCAGAAGCATTGGGTGGTAGCTCTACATTTTCAGCCCTTTATTTTTAGGATACCTGAAACAAGGTTCAAGACGATAATTATTAGTGAGTTAGATACATAAGCTGAAGACAAATTATTTAAATTGTCAAAACATGGCTAAATGGAGAACTTAATAATTCTTCCATATCAAATATATGACTATAAAGAAATCAATGGAAGATGTCTTTAAATAAAATTTGGAAGAAATATATCTTCTTTTTTTATATCTATTTTTAATACAGATACTTAGAATATTTTCTACTCAGGTGTGTATTTATGTACTTATTCCTCTAACCGTCTAGACTTTTAAAGCTGCTGTGCATATCCAACAAATTTGAGAATTTATTTATGATTGTAAAACTCTTCTGACCATCTCATCAGGTGATCACATGGTGACACATCATGGTTAAATTCCTTTAGCTATTTCTTAGTATGGAACATAAAGGTGGAATATAATTTTGTGTAACTTCTGGTGAAATAGGAAAAAAACCCACCTTTTTGATAGTAGCAATTATGCTTCACCTGCAGAAGAAGCAGAAAAAAAATGTCTGTAAGACCATTTCTATAAGATATCTACACTATTGAAATCATCTTGCTTTTAATATATTTTGGGGACCTTTGATGTCCTCCTCTTAAAGCATGACGAAGGGAGATTCACAAAGATTTGGGACTTCCTTATGCAGAGAGCATAGACAGTTGGGTCTTCCAAAGGATAACTGTGGATTTGAACACTGGAGCTGTACCCAGTACCCAGAAAAGTCTGTCACTCTTCCTCTCCTGGGGATAGTGCTAATCTAGGAAGACTGACTTTTCTAGGCAAAGTCAGGCTTTGTGGGCACCCCTCCAGAGCATCCCTTTCCAGTCTGCATTTCTACATTCTCAGCAGCACTGTCAGGCTGCAGGAAAGGTTTCATCCTGGAATGAAACAAATTTCTGTATTAAACTCTACAAGATGAGAAACGAAGGGTCCTAAAAAGGTAATTTTAACATTTCTCAGGAAGCTGCCTGAAAAATGACCAATGGAAATATATATGGACCAAAGGAAATATATCTTTACAAAGTGCTGAAAACAGACATAAGGAGTTTTGTTTAAACATGAAGTCTTGCAAATAATGTCATTCATATGCTCATATCAGGTAACTGTGAGGCCAAATTTCTAAACTGAGACAGTTTCTTTCATATAAGGAGCTCTTTGAAGTTGCATGTTCTTGATGCAGGAAGGAGGCATGCCTTAACATGAAAGGAGGAACATTGGAGATATAAAGAAAGAAAAAAAAAAAGGAGAAACAAATAGGGAAAACATAGAGCCAAACTTAACTGTTTTGTTTGCTAGCATATTTTACTATTCTAACTGTCACAATCTAAGAGAGTTAAACACAAAGACATGAATAAATTTATGTAAATGAGTATGAAATGAGATGTGCCCCTCAGGCTCTGAAAAGTTGCCAATAGTTTCCTATTCATCATAGAGAAGTATTTCTTGTTAAAAAAATAAAAAGAAGAAAAGTACAGAAAAAAGAAAATATCAAGCACAGCAGAAAGAAATTCCCTGACATTTTAACATGTAATTTCATAATGCAGTGCAAAGCAAAATGCCAGCATTGAAAACATTCCTAGAATTTATAGTGTCAAAGGAAATACTAATGTACTGCTAGTAAATACAGGACAAAAGAGAATGCCAAAAATCATTCTCAGAAGAATTTCCAACCCATAACACTGTAGAGAAAAATCATACAGATCTGTCAACAGAAAAAGCTCATTTCTTAATTTATGTGAAAATAAAACAGAAATGTTAAGTAATCATTTTAAAAAGGGACTTTAAAACTTATTTTCCTTGATCAGACACCTAGCTTAGTAGTAGCTCAATACAAAGTAATTGTCAGCAGTTTTCCATTGAGCTTCTTATAATAGCAAAGAAGTATGGATATGTTTTCTAAAAATGCTTCTCATAACCATGACGTGTATAGATGCATGATCCTGTGGGTATTCTGTGGATATATTTCAAGTAGGAATTTCCCTGCACACAAGAGTTAAGATTAAGTATCACTCATTTCACACATATTTATAAAACTCCAAAACCGTATTTATGCACATTTTCTGAATCATTATAAAATCAACTGAATTTCAATAACGTGAATAGATAGCATGAATTAGATTTAATTTGCATGAAATGGGATTCTAACATGTTTTAAAAATGAAGAATAAGAAAAAATACATACTGTTTTATGTACCATAACATTTTTTGCATATTTTCCAAGAATTTATCAGAAAAGTGATTCAATATGCTATAAAAGCTTCTATACATTTTCAGAAGCATTTCAATCCATTTCAATATTTCTTTCTCTTAATTTGCTTATTTTTTCTTCTATATGCTTATGAAAATCTTCTACATTACCTCTTTTTTGATAAATCCAGTATGCATCTGTATGGGTTTTTTTTTTTTTTTCTATACATCACTTTATCATATATCACATTTTCATACATATACATTATATATAATCAAAATATTTCATAATTTCGTGCTTCTACCATAGGAAACAGAGGAAAATCTGCCATTAGGGGGTCTCCCAAGGGACCAGAATTAAAAAGCTATATCGCTGCTTAACAGAGGTGGTCTTTTTCTGAAGTCAAAGCAGCATAGCTGCATTCATTACTTGTGGGAATACTTTGGTTTGATTTCTTTAAGGGAAGAAATGGCTTAAACAGCATAGTCTCATGAATACCTCCCTGTCTCGCTCACTCCATGGTAAGCTCCATATAATAACCCTATGTAACACAATTCCATGCAGGCTGGACTGATCTTAAAGGTGCATTGACCAGTACAGATTGAAATACAGAAGTGATTTAGCCTTGATGAAACTCTTCTGGGCATTTTTTTTAATATTAAACAAAACTTAACTTTGAACAAAATGACAATGTCAGAAGCATACAAAGCATTACAAGTGCAGTAGAAATACTGAGATCGTAAGCAGCAGTTGAGAAATGTGAAATGTGAAAAACTTGTGAGACCGGACCTGCAGACACAGAGAGAAAGGAGGCCTCTGAGCTCTCGAACTGTCACTGCTTATTGTTAGGTCAAGAGACTTTTCTTGTTTCATATTATTGTTTATCTTATAATCTCTGAAGCTCTTCAAAATAAAACTGTGAGTGTAATAAAATACTTCCCTCTAGAGCAAATTCTTTTCTTTTACCAGCCACAGAAGTCCTCCACACTCTTTCTAGCAGTGTGAAGTACTTGCAGAACCTGTTCACAAGTGCTAAGTCTTGCAAATCATCCTCAAAGACCATGAATCCTCCTACTTTTAACATGGTTTTCAGTCTAAGGCTTTTGGTCTTCTCTCAGCTCAGGCACTTTCTGGTTCCAAGTGGTCAAGTACTCTGTGCTTTCCTACTCATCTGGACACATATCCAGATTTTTGGCCAACCAAGGCTGGGTTCAGTGCTTTTAAATGCAGACAGGATGACTGGCATTACATCTTCACTGAACCTAGTTTAAGCTAATTCTTAATGGTCAATACAGGCCTAATGATAGAGGCCACCTGGAAGATCCATTTAGAGTTTGCCCACAGAAATGGCACAACTGTTTGCCCACAGATAAGGCATGGCAGCAAAAGTCTCGGAAAATCCTTCCCAGCACTCCAGAATAGATGACGATCATTCTCTGGAAGGTCTTCAAGACCTTCAAGAAGTCATTCAGGTATCTCCAACTGCCCTTCACTGTTGCTTGTAAGTCAAACCAAGACAGAGTTGATAGTGAGGGGGGCAGTATGACCTTTCTGATGATCTAGGGAGCGCTTCTGTGGGCCACCCTGTGGTGCAAACTGGGAGCTTGTCCAGTCCAGAACTAACAACACTAGCCTGTGTGTACTTTACTTTTCCCAGAAGTTTAAGATAATCATGAAATAGCGACCTCAAGTATTTCTAAAACTACTTGTTTCTGAAACACCATGCCAGAGGTTTCTAATCAGCAGTGTCTACAGAACAAAATTTGAAATAGCTCTATCTTCAGAAAGACATTTAAATTTAAGCACTCGTTGTAGCCAGAGGAACATGGCAAAATAGGAAATGTCTGAACATGAAAGTCTTGCTGCAGGCTTTACTTTCCTACTAGTTTGTTGTCAAGACTCTCCCATCTTAATCTACACCAGGTAAGCAATGGAAAGGACATCACACACTTATGTTCTAAAAACTCTCTTGGACTCAAATATTTGAGAAGATGATGAGAGCAGTTTTTACCAGAAGTACTTATCAAGTTCCCAGGGCAACTGATAGGGCACCCAAAATGATTTTGGATTATAATAATGAAATGACTTCCCAAAAGCACACTGAAAACTCAATGTTTAAAAAAAAATAAATAAACAAGAACCCAAATCAAACTAATAAAAATATCCAAACTCACTCTTGCCCCTCAGGCTGGGCATAGAGGAACAACTCTTCACTATAGGAAGCACTATTCAGCCAGGTATCTTCCTCCAGCTTCTTCCAGCTTCTCAAATTCTAAGAAAACTAACAAGTAACTATTTCTACTTGCGCTGATTTAAAAAATTTCTAAACAAATTCCATAACAAAGACCTTCTCTTTTATTATTTAGATGAGATATTATAGGCCAAAGGAGGGTCTGGAAAGAATATTTATTGTGGATTTTAAGTTCTTGAAAATAGAGATTTATATTTATAAAGGAAAGGTTGAGTTCTTAACATTGTTGTATTAGCAGAGATATTACAATAAAAAGGTGTAATTTTAACTAGAGCATTTATAATGGTAGTATAATGTAGTTAGTAAAAAATGAATTTTACAAGGTGAATGTACAATTTAAAACAAATATGCACAGCAGAAAACCAAACAGCAGATCATAAAAAAATTCTATTTAGCACACTTTTTCTCATATACCATGTGATTTAATAGACTTTCATCAAAAATACAGAAATAAAACACATTATTCCACAAACGAGGACTTTTTAAATCTTCATGCATTTTAATGATTGATTCCTTACACAAAGTTGTACTTGCTTGGAAGAAGTTTAAAAATAGAATTCAACAGATTCATAAACTACATCAATAGTACATTGTGGACTAATAGTGAAATACTAATAACAGGGGGTTGCACAGGCAAGCTAAATCAATTCCAGGATTTTTTTAAGCACGTCATTTATAGCATTAAAACTCTTGAAGCCTTCATAACCACAGAATCACAGAATGGTTAAGTTTGGAAGGGACCTCTAGAGATCATCTAGTCCAGCCCCCTGCTCCAGCAGGGACACCCAGAGCACGGGGCACAGGGCGGCATCCAGCCAGGTTTTGAAGATGCAATGGTCATGCATAATCCTTTAAGATATTAATTAATGAGGGGAAGTGTTTGGGGAATCCAAGATTTGGGGAATCCTATGTAGAAATTTGATTTTCTTCTACAGATCATATAAGCAAAATCTGTGTTAAAACTGGAGTGAAGTATCATCAAGAAAAACTAGCTTTTTACAGAAAGCTGGACTGATATGGTCCCTTCCCAAATCAGACTGGAGGCT